TTTTACGGCGAGGGATGCGTTTCCATGGAAACGGCATATGGTGAGATTTCAGATTTGGCGTAGAGCTGTTGAGGCATGGACCGGTGATATACAAGTGAAGATTGGGGGACGATTGGACCGTGTCCATTGGACTTACAGCGACATCGTGTTTCATGGCGAGTGGTCTGTCGCCATGGCAACGGCATTTGATGACACCCCACACTACGCGTGTGGAATTTCGAGGCTGCACATGGGTAGAATTTGCGTCCTTAAAATCCCCACAATGCTTTGCGCATGGACCAATTTCCCCAAATCTGTGGCGGAAGATGTAAGGCGGGGCCTCTCATATGACGCACACCTGCACACTTGCTCGCCTGTTACACTCTTTGTTTTCCGAATGCCAGGAAGTATTCTTGTCTTGCTTCTGAAGCAAGATGCTCGGCTTGGCTGTGCTACCAAGCCAGCATCCTCGCGATTGAGAAACGGCCAGTGTGTGTGTGAGTATGAAATGAACAGTTAGAACTGACTGCTGTCAGTTGGAGTGATGACATCATCGTGTTCCATTACACAGGTGTTTATAGTAGAGCTAACGAGCTATGCAGAGATCAAAGGTTTAATTGTTCTGAATGAGAGATAAACCTCTTACATGTGAACGTTTTGTGGAAGAACGATAACAGATATCTGTGAAATTTCAAAACGTGAAGCATGTCAAGGAAGTTGAGTATCTGAAGTGTAATTTTTGTGTACTTTCGGGTAAATAATGTGGCCTTTTTGGCAGTTTAACTAAAGGTGTGCGGCTGCTGCTGTGAGGAAATATCAGCCTGAAATTACAATGGGTTTTAATGGAGACATGTTGAACGTTTTTGTCACTTCATGCCCTCAAGAGGCATTTTGTTTAATTATTTTTTGCTTAATTATTTGTCATTTTTCAAGCTACGAGATGTTTTCCTACGTTTGTCATGACAAATTATGTCTCAGGAATGTATGGTTTGGGAATTATGGCAGTTTAAAAAAAAAATATGAAGGCAAATTTCAAGATTTCCTACCCTCTAGCTGTGACATCATGCACTCTAGTTAATGTTAAAATCTGAAGAAAACCTCTTTACCAAGGTCTGAACAATGTTTAATATCTCTAAAAGTAAGAATCAGATTTAAAAGTTGTATTACACGAATAATGTCAGAAAGATGTGTAACATTTTAAAGTTGGAATGAGGTTTCTGAGTGAAAGTATGAATGAACAGTTAGCAGTTGAAGTCGCATGAAGATTTGTTGAAGTCTGAAGAATTTCTCCATTGACTTCAATGTTAAAAATGTGATGAATTATGGGATGTATCTCTGGAATTATGAAAGTTATGAATGATAAAAGTAATAGCCTGCGATTTCCCGACCGAGCTGAACGTTTTGATGTTTGAACGGAGTTTCTGCGATGTTGAATGTGGGAGGAGAAGAGGGCCAAAATAAGTCGGCGGAATAATAATAATAAACTTTTTGTCCGTAGCATAACATATAGTGGGAATGCTGTATCAGCATTCCCACTAAATTACTTGTATATAGAAGACTCTCCTTGCACTATTTGATCTATTCTATCTGTGTTATTGTGTTGCTCTGTTGGAGGAGTCTTTGACCTCAGATTTTCTTTGCCATAACTCCATGTAGCTCTGTACGAATGACAATAAAACCCTTGAATCTTGAATCAGTGTCGAAGAACCTCCCTGTGATGGTGTACCTGTTCGGGGGGGCCTTCCTGTTGGGGGCGTCCAACGATGTTTCGTTCCTCGGGGAGTCGCTGTACGACGGGAAGGAGATGGCCGACCGCGGAGACGTCATTGTGGTGACGGTGAATTACAGGGTCGGACCGCTCGGGTTCCTCAGCTCCGGAGACGCCCGGCTGCCAGGTCTGGGAACATATCTTTAAACTCTGTCCATCATTTCAACAGGACCAGGATTGTGAATGGTCAGAACAACAGAACACTGACTTGTACCTAATATAGAGAGGTCCAGGAATGAGTCTTCAAACTCTGTCATGACTCAGCATCACTTCCTGTCCCCTGGTCTGGAGGTCAATGGTTCTCTGAATGTGTTTTTTGTTGTTATCCTGAAATCAGGTCTGTGGTTAACACAAGCTGAAGAGATTTTAACGTTTTGTTCTACGACATAAAATACTTCAGTAAGTACCCCACTGGTGGATTTAAAAACAGGGGTTGCTAACAGTCTAGCCTCCTTTAGCTTAGCGGTGGTGACGTGAAGTCATGTGACCGTGCTGTAGTTCCTTTATAGCCCAACATTAGCCTCCTTTAGCTTAGCGGTGGTGACGTGAAGTCATGTGACCGTGCTGTAGTTCCTTTATAGCCCAACATTAGCCGCCTTTAGCTTAGCGGTGGTGACGTGAAGTCATGTGACCGTGCTGTAGTTCCTTTATAGCCCAACAGTAGCCACCTTTAGCTTAGCGGTGGTGACGTGAAGTCATGTGACTGTGCTGTAGTTCCTTTATAGCCCAACATTAGCCACCTTTAGCTTAGCGGTGGTGACGTGAAGTCATGTGACCGTGCTGTAGTTCCTTTGTAGCCCAACATTAGCCTCCTTTAGCTTAGCGGTGGTGACGTGAAGTCATGTGACCGTGCTGTAGTTCCTTTATAGCCCAACAGTAGCCACCTTTAGCTTAGCGGTGGTGACGTGAAGTCATGTGACCGTGCTGTAGTTCCTTTATAGCCCAACATTAGCCACCTTTAGCTTAGCGGTGGTGACGTGAAGTCATGTGACTGTGCTGTAGTTCCTTTATAGCCCAACATTAGCCACCTTTAGCTTAGCGGTGGTGACGTGAAGTCATGTGACCGTGCTGTAGTTCCTTTGTAGCCCAACATTAGCCTCCTTTAGCTTAGCGGTGGTGACGTGAAGTCATGTGACCGTGCTGTAGTTCCTTTGTAGCCCAACATTAGCCTCCTTTAGCTTAGCGGTGGTGACGTGAAGTCATGTGACCGTGCTGTAGTTCCTTTATAGCCCAACATTAGCCACCTTTAGCTTAGCGGTGGTGACGTGAAGTCATGTGACCGTGCTGTAGTTCCTTTGTAGCCCAACATTAGCCTCCTTTAGCTTAGCGGTGGTGACGTGAAGTCATGTGACCGTGCTGTAGTTCCTTTATAGCCCAACATTAGCCTCCTTTAGCTTAGCTTTTAACGTTTTAGTTTCACTTCCCTCTCAGGAAACTACGCTCTGTGGGATCAGCACGCTGCCATCTCCTGGGTCAGCAGGAACATCGCAGCGTTCGGAGGAAACCCCGACAACATCACCCTGTTCGGACAGTCAGCCGGAGCCGCCAGCGTCAGCTTCCAGGTCAGAGGTTAACATGCTTCTAAATAATGTGAAAGATGTAAAAAATATCAGAATAATCCTCAGAAAATATACAAACAATACATGACAGTGCATGGTATGATCTACTGTGGTGCAAATAACCCTTTTTCTTTTGTTGGTAACATCTCTTTCTGTAAGTCATGCTTTTAGAGAGAGAGAAACTCCTCCTCTCTCTGTCCTTCAGATGCTGTGCCCCCTCTCTGTCCCTCAGATGCTGTGCCCCCTCTCTGTCCCTCAGATGCTGTCCCCCCACAGTAAAGGGTTGTTCTTCTCTCTGTCCCTCAGATGCTGTCCCCCCACAGTAAAGGGTTGTTCTTCTCTCTGTCCCTCAGATGCTGTCCCCCCTCTCTGTCCCTCAGATACTGTCCCCCCACAGTAAAGGGTTGTTCTTCTCTCTGTCCCTCAGATGCTGTCCCCTCACAGTAAAGGGTTGTTCTTCTCTCTGTCCCTCAGATGCTGTCCCCCCTCTCTGTCCCTCAGATGCTGTCCCCCCACAGTAAAGGGTTGTTCTTCTCTCTGTCCCTCAGATGCTGTCCCCCCTCTCTGTCCCTCAGATGCTGTCCCCTCACATTAAAGGGTTGTTCTTCTCTCTGTCCCTCAGATGCTGTCCCCCCACAGTAAAGGGTTGTTCTTCTCTCTGTCCCTCAGATGCTGTCCCCCCTCTCTGTCCCTCAGATGCTGTCCCCCCTCTCTGTCCCTCAGATGCTGTCCCCCCACAGTAAAGGGTTGTTCTTCTCTCTGTCCCTCAGATGCTGTCCCCCCACAGTAAAGGGTTGTTCTTCTCTCTGTCCCTCAGATGCTGTCCCCTCACAGTAAAGGGTTGTTCCGCAGGGCCATCTCTCAGGGTGGCGTGGCCCTCAGCCCCTGGGCTCTGCAGAAGAACCCCATGGCTCTCACCAAGAAGGTCCTCACACACATTACTGTCCTGCAGACCTTATTAACCTGTTGAACCCCATTGACCCGCCCCCGGGCGGAAAAACGCATCATCTCATTTCAAACCTTTATTTATTCAAGTTGTATCCCATTGAGATCATTGACCTCTTTTTCAAGGGAGACCTGCTCAAGTAGGTTCCACATGAAACATTAAAAACATAAACAGAACAACAAAAGGACATCATACAGTAGCATTACAGGGATTACAAATTACATACTATCCACATGCACAGGTACCAGCAGGAAACAGCGTCTGAGGGCTTCTTAATATTTAATAAACTATGAATGTTTTATATCCATATAACGGGAAGAAACTCAGCTAACTGATCATTATTTTATTTCTTTGCAAAAAAACCCACAAAGCTAACGCTGAGCCTCGGAATTAGCCACGAGCGAAAACATTCTAACGCCGGTTGCACAGAAAACACGGTATAACACCCTTATTACTTATCGTAACTGCACATCCACCATATCAAATAGCATCGTGAGAAGACACAGAATCGATAGGTATCACTCCATGATAAGAACTCGCAACTTTATAAACAAAAACAGCAACACGTGGCATTAGGTAGCAACCACGGCAATATGTCTTACCTTTGTTGTTGTTTGATCAAAAGTTGTCTTCAATGGCATTAAAACGATGAAAACGCTGCTGAAGGTTAATCTATAGGTTAATCCAATGTGTCTGTGTCACTTTGAAATGATTTCTGATAATCCATCAGCAATAAACCTACTTTTAAGTTTTCAGATTTCAGAGCGTGAGACAGGTTTCGCTTCAGGCAAACTGCATGCGCGTAGCCCCCACTTCACAATGGTAACGTTGGTGTGTATGTGAAAATTCCCCTTCGATTCTATTGGCTCTAACGGTTAAAAAGAGATGTCAATCACCAAAATCGACCAATGGGTTCCAGAGAAACGGCAAAAACGCCCATTTCCACCCAAATCACCTCAGAGGTGGAGTTTCTTTGGCTAAACCTCTCTAAAAAGGTCAAATGTCACTTGTTTTGCATCAATCTTGATACAGGGTACTTATTATATGTTGTACTTTGGATTCCTAAAGCTTTTAGTCTACTAACCCATCATTCAAGGGTGGTTTTCACTATAAGTAAAAAATAATTTTTGGACGGACACTATAATTTACAGTTTTTTACTATGTAAAATCTGAATTTTCTTTAAAATAAAAAACATCTATATTGATTCTGACTTTTCTACATCCAACTCACAGGTTTATCATTACTTTGAGAAAAAAGATTATTAATTTAATCCTTTTAGAAGGGAAGATATGGTCATTTGTTCTGGGAATGTCATTTTCGAGCCTGAGACCTGAAAAACAGGGATGTGCCCTCACACATATTAATGTTCTGCAGAAAATCTGACTTTTTTTCTCCACATTCTGACTTTTCCTCAAAAGCTCAAAAATGTTCTGTACATCTTAATATTGCGCATCAGCTGAATATTTGTCTGTCTGAATATGCTCTTCCTCAGATTGCTCGTAAGGTGGGCTGCTGGAAGATGGATGTAGACGTGATGATCGAATGTCTGAAGAAGAGCGACCCTGTCAAACTCACCATGGCGGGGAAAATCGACGTGTTTCTGATTCTGGGAAAAGGTCAGAGCAGCTTTAAGAGACAGAAAGAAACATCAGTATTAACCACAGACTGCATATCCACATAGACCAACACCAGCATTGACCTGTCCGTCATTAGGACATAATATTAATGATGCAACATATTTGAAGGCGATAAGGTGAACATTTCTTGTTGTTTATTCGTCAAACTTCAATGTGTCTTTAGGCTAATATTACATTTAAAAAAGGTACCTGAAAAAATACAAGAAATGTTAACACCAATGTGTTTGAAAAGAGTCACAGTCTCCGTAAACCTTTAGCATGAACCCCTTTTAATGATGCCATTATTGTCCTATGCTCAATAGCTACAATCATGCAACGTACAAAATACTTGAACAAATATGTTAATTAGTGGAATATCCATTACATGTAAGTTGGAGGAATAAGGAAGATATTTAAGATAAAATAAGGTCAACCTAAAATATATACCGTACAGTAGAACATGTGGGTGCTGTGTGATAAAAAACAATATTATAAATCATGTGTTACCACGATAAAATGTGATGTGAATGAAGAGCTAAAGACACTGCATGACACGGCTTTTTAGTGGCCGCTCTTTATTTTGATGTGTTCCTATAACTTCTTATCCCTTGACATTATTTAAAGAAAGTCTCAAGAAAGATTTAAAGTTGAACAGAGATTTCTGAGGCACCAAGTGTAAGTGTCTGCGTTGTGTTGTGGAAGGATCAGACCCGAGTCAGCATACCGTTGGATACCGTTGGATCCGATGAACAACAGATGAACAACAAATCAGCCGTTACTATATTGTACGCCCTCACACTTCGACTCCTGCACAGATTCAATTAGAACGAAATAATTCAACATACACACATGTTCATAGCTTAATGCAGAAATGTCTGAAAACAGTGCCGTTACTTCTCCCGTGAAACACGTTAACGAAAAGGGACGAGGAGAACATGAGGGACACAATGTAAAGGAGGGAGTGGATGTCAGAGGCTCCGCCGACTGATTTGAGGCCTAACATGTCAGGTATTCACTTTTGGTAGATACAGAACACAGCATTTCTGTGATTATAATAAAATAAATTACAAAGAAATATGAGTCTCTGTAACACTAAACATTACATTACATGTCACTTGTTAGACGCTTTTATCCAAAGCGACTTACATACTCAATACTGTGGGCAATCCACACAGGAGCACTTTGGGGTGAAGTGTCTCAGGGACACACCGACATGCTGACTGCAGTGGGGTTTGAACCTGTGACCATCTGATCCCATAGCAAGGCTTTATCCACTGCACCACACGCCTCCCAAACACTACTGCATATTTACACTTGTTACATAAGGAACTATGTGTGAGCCTCTTTGAACTTCTGAAGTGTGTGAACCCTGACGGTGAAGCCTCTCTCCTTCTGAAGGTACGGTTATGGATCTCATTGAGTTCTCTCCGGTGATCGACGGGGACTTTATCCCAGATGAGCCCAGTAAACTGTTTCATAACGCCGCTAAATTCGACTTCCTGGCCGGGGTCAACAGCATGGACGGACACATGTTTGCTGGGGTCGACGTTCCTTCCATCAACAAGAAAACTGCCAACACCACTGTGTGAGTTCTCAAACGTCACAGCACTGCACACCTGATTTAGGGACATTTATTATTGACCAATCAGGACCAGACCCCAGACTAAAGGAACACAAATAAAGTTTCTGAAACTGTTATCAGAAATAGCAACTGTAAACATGCAGAAAATGTAGAAAACTTTATTTTTCTCATTTGGGGTCCCACAAGGCTCCGTCCTGGGCCCACTGCTTTTTATTCTGTAAATGTTTCTGCATATGAGTATTGTTCCACAAAAACAGCATATTAAAGTGTCATCACTATGCAGATGACACTCAGCTCTATAGATGTTGATCTTATGTTGATCCCCCCTTTAATCAGCGCCAGCGTGGCGGAGTGAGGGAGACCAAATGTTCGTCCAATTAAATACAAAAAGCTGAGACTGAGTTTCACTGTAGGTTCAAAAGAGGAATAAGAGAAACTTTTGGACAATTAACCCTATATTTAAAAAGACAAGGGTCACTGACACAGATACCTTTCTTAAAAATAACGTAACTCTGGCTTCAATTACCCCAACGAGAGACACACACTAGAAAACAATGGGAGTCTACTAACACAATGTGCTGCTCTTATACTAAATACATTCGCTCTAATATACTTCTGTTTTCCTTCCTCTCCGAAGTTGTTTTTTCTGTCCACTTGATTTATGCACAACTCATATCTCAAAACTTTGGTGACAAAAGCTAAATGCATCTTCTGTTTTATTCATCATAAGAAACGAAGTCAGCAAGATACAAAACCTTGATCTGTCAAGAAATGAAGTTATGATATTTGGAGATTAAATCTGAATTTGTTGTGGTCCTGTTTGTCCCCAGTAAGAGTGTGCGGGGTCTTCTGGCTGGTCTCACTAAAGAGAAGGGGGGCGCTGCCGTGGACTCGGCCTTCAGCGTTTACTCGTCTAACTGGGGGTCCCATCCGGACCCGGCGGTGGTTAAGAAGACTGTCGCCGACATCGAGACAGACTTCCTGTTCCTGGTTCCCACTCAGACCGCCCTCCAGCTCCACGCCAACAACGCCAGGTCAGATTGGTTACAGTGATGGTGACTTATGGAGAGTATGCAGACGATCTGTTGTAAAACTCAGAGTCTTTGTACATGGTCCACAAATGAGCCTTCTCTGCTTGTGGAGTACATCAAGGTTTAGAATTAGGAGTATTTATACTGTGTCTGAACTGATGAGTCTCCATGGTCACACATTTTAATTAAAGCTGCAAGCAGCGATGAGCGGGTATTTGGTGCTCCGTGCAGGTTCGCTATTGTCCGCACGTCGACGTCACGCAGATGTTTTCCGGACTCGGCCGTTAGCAAACGTGGGAAGTTTCAGGCCGATCGGACAATGTCTATAGGAGTTACAGCAGTAACACAATGGCATTTGATGACACCCCATAATACGCTTAGATGTATTGAGGGCTGCATCGTTACCAAACCTGTGAATTCTTTAGCCGTTCGGAGCATGAGAAAGTTAAGTGCACTTGTTTGAGCACTTTTTGACAATTTTCATAGGAGTTACAGCGTTATCGTGTTTCATGGCGAGTGATGTGTTAAGCAATTTTTGAGGCAAAGTTCCGGAACCAATTACACATCGCAATTTTCACCAGTCCTGACTCGCGTGCAAAATTTGGTGAGTTTTCATATATGTTGAGGGGGTCAAATTTGCATTCAAAGAGGAAAAATAAAAACAAGAATAATAACAATAATCCTTTCAATATCAATAATGTGAGCAATGATAAAAAATGCACAGTATTATACATTTTTGGATGTGATGAAAACCTCCATATCTGTATTTACCGCCAATCAAATGACAGCGAGTGTTTTCACCCAAAAAAGGGGCGGGGCCATGATGTAGAGGGAAAGTACTCTCATCTATATCTAAAAAACATAAATAAAACCCTAACCCTCAGTACAACTAGAACAAACGTAAAGTTAATTAGGGGACCTTTAAAGAGGACCAGAGTGTGATCCTTGCTGTGTTTGGTCCCTCAGTGGCGCCCGGACCTTCTCCTACCTGTTCTCCATGAAGACTCGCATCCCGGGGTTCCCCAGCTGGGTGCAGGCGGAGCACGCCGAGGATCTGCAGTACCTGTTCGGGAAACCCTTCTCCATGCCGCTGATCTACTTCCCCCGGCACCGCGACCTGTCCAAGTACATGATCGCCTACTGGACCAACTTTGCCAGGACCGGGTAATCTCCCAGCATGCAATGCAAACACACTAACTGGTTCGGTGTAGTCACCATCAATACTTTAATTTCAAATATGTAAAGTTCATTTTTTGATGTACGGGAACTTGGTCTCAGAGACTCAAAAAGGCTTCTGTCCACTTTGCATACCCGAGGTTGTGCAGTAAAGTATTTGAAGTGTACAGTACACGCGAAATACATAACTGCAGGAACTCTTATATCTCTCAAGTGTGTTAATGGGGTCAACGAGTGTGCATGGCCCCCAAACTGTGTGGGTGTGATCCAAAGGGCCCCATGTGTCCGTGTACCAAGTTTGGAGCCCGTACACTTCTACATTCTTGACATTGTCAAATTGTCTCCATTTTCACACCAATCAATCATTTGGTAGCCTATAGCACAGTCCAAGCTCCCTGTGTCAATGCATTGTCGAGAGACAGTCCTGTACATTTCAAATACACAAGACACTGCAGAAATGTATTTGAAGTGTGCGTCCACTTTAAATACATAACTGCACAATGTCATGTATGTAAAGTGGACATGGACTTATATCTCCTAAGGTTGGGGGTCAATGGGTGTGCATGGCCCCCAAACGTTGTGTACTCCGTGAAGCCCTTACGGTCAGTGAGTAAGGGTTTTAAAGGACTTGGAATATATTAAGAAGATCTGAAAGAGATATGGAAGTGTTTGTAATAAGGTGCTGTCTCTCCTCAGGGATCCCAGCACAGGGGAGAGCAGAGTCCCGACTGTCTGGCCCGCCTTCACCAAGAACCACCAAGTCTACCTGGACATCAACCACAGGATCAACAAGTTCTCCGTCAGGTAGTCTGCCGCTAAGTCCTCCGTCAGGTAGTCTCTACTAAGTCCTCCGTCAGGTAGTCTCTACTAAGTCCTCCGTCAGGTAGTCACTCCGCTAAGTCCTCCGTCAGGTAGTCTGCCGCTAAGTCCTCCGTCAGGTAGTCTCTACTAAGTCCTCCGTCAGGTAGTCTCTACTAAGTCCTCCGTCAGGTAGTCTCTACTAAGTCCTCTGTCAGGTAGTCTGCCGCTAAGGCCTCCGTCAGGTAGTCTCTGTCGCTAAGTCCTCCGTGAGGTAGTCTGCCGTCCTCCGTCAGGTAGTCTCTGCTGAGTCCTCAGTCAGGTAGTCTCTTGTCCTCCATCAGGTAGTCTCTTGTCCTCCGTCAGGTAGTCTCTTGTCCTCCGTCAGGTAGTCTCTTGTCCTCCGTCAGGTAGTCTCTGACACCAGACAGAGCTTTGACACAGATTAGGGTTTACTGTTGGAGGATGTTAGGTTCTGTGTCTGTTTGTGTTTATCAAAGTCAAAGTCAGCTTTATTGTCAAAAATTCTACATGTGTTATACATCCAGAAATATCGAAATATCGTTTCCCGCAGTCCCACAGTGTGACATGTATACATAAAACAAAACAAAAAGGGCCTTGTCTGTTGTTGTTTATCTGTTTGTGTTTATATGTTGTTGTTTATCTGTTGTTGTTGTTGTTTACGACCCCCTCTCTCTCTCCAGCTCCGACCTGAGATCCTACTACGTGTCCTACTGGACTCAGACCTACAGCCTCCTGCCCTCAGTGCGGGAGATCTGAGAGTTACCAGCTCTTCCTCTGTGGTCATCTTCAATAGTAACTCACTGAATAAAGTCTCTGTGTGATGATGACACGTAACTCTGAGCTCTGGGTCTGATGTTTGATTGATGACACGTAACTCTGAGCTCTGGGTCTGATGTTTGATTGATGACACGTAACTCTGAGCTCTGGGTCTGATGTTTGATTGATGACACGTAACTCTGAGCTCTGGGTCTGATGTTTGATTGATGACACGTAACTCTGAGCTCTGGGTCTGATGTTTGATTGATGACACGTAACTCTGAGCTCTGGGTCTGATGTTTGATTGATGACACGTAACTCTGAGCTCTGGGTCTGATGTTTGATTGATGACACGTAACTCTGAGCTCTGGGTCTGATGTTTGATTGATGACACGTAACTCTGAGCTCTGGGTCTGATGTTTGATTGATGACACGTAACTCTGAGCTCTGGGTCTGATGTTTGATTGATGACACGTAACTCTGAGCTCTGGGTCTGATGTTTGATTGATGACACGTAACTCTGAGCTCTGGGTCTGATGTTTGATTGATGACACGTAACTCTGAGCTCTGGGTCTGATGTTTGTTTGTTAACAACTTTGTGGCGACCTCAAAGGCAAACTACAGAAAATGATCATTACATTATTACATTACATGCAGGGTTGGGAGGGTTACTTTGTAAATGTAATCAGTTACTGATTACTGAATACATGGCTCTGAAAGTAATCCGAATAGAGTTACGTGTCTTAAAAAAGTAACGTAATCAGATTACTTTCAGATTACTTTTGGATTACTTTCTTTATCCATCACAGATGGGTATGTTTTGGTGAACAGGAGACACACAAAGCAAAAGGAAACTGAAGGTGTTTTTACTGTTTTAATGATTTATCAAGAGCAACTGAAACATAACATCTGGAACGATGAAACAACATAATACACTTTTTGGGGATGCAGCTTGGGATGTGAGGAGTGAGGGACACGGCTTAGAACGGGTGTGTCGCCTTCTGTCCTGCCAGTGTTGGCAGGACATGAATTAAAATGTCGAACTCGGACTTCATTTTAAGGACCTGTCGGCCAGGGGTGTAGAGCTATATCTGTTTAAGCACCGGATTGGGAAACCAGCAGAGTGTGTGCACCAGTCTGCCTTGATCTATGAACTCATGTCCGTGACACTCACAGTATCTGCTGCCCACAGCTGGTTTATAGAACCTCCTTCACTTCATGAAATCTCTGCAGCACCAGGAGGCAGCGGCAGGGTTGGCCTCTGAGAAGAGGAGCGCGCAGTGCCTTCACTGTGTTTACCTTCAGAGTCATTAGAAAGGCTAACGAGCGACCGCAGGCTGATGTGTTTTAACCACACACACACACACACACACACACACACACACACACACACACACACACACACACACACACACACACACACACACACACACACACACACACACGGTGGTAATAGGTTTTGTGCGCTGTGATGATTCGGCTGTACCTTTAGTAATGAATATTAAATGTTGTGAGGAAATCTTTCCACCAATAATTCCAATAAGTAATCCAAAATGTATTCACTTCAGGTTTACGAAAGTAACTGTAATCAGATTACTCGGTTTTCAAATGTAATGCGAGCTGAATACAGTTACTTGATTTTTGTATTCTGATGACGTAACGCCGTTACATGTATTCCGTTACAACCCAACCCTGATCACATGTTACTTGTTAGACGCTTTTATCCAAAGCGACTAACATACTCAATACTGTGGACAATCCCCTCAGGAGCACTTTGGGGTGAAGTGTCTCAGGGACACAACGACATGCTGACTGCAGTGGGGTTTGAACCTGTGCCCAGGATAATCTGGATTGAGCGTATAGTCGATGTCGTATAAAGTGATTTAAACGTGCTCTTCTCGTGGTCAGGACTCTTTCAGTGGTTCAGGAGGTTTTTAGAGTCTCCTTCTCCCCCTCTTATATACATCAGAGAAGACTACAACTCCCATGATGCAACACTCTAAAACCAACACACCCACTAAAGCCTTACTGTTGCGTTCACTTAGAGCCCCCTAGTGGCAGAGCATGACAGGTGTGTTTAACATTTAGAATAAAGATGAATAATGCAGACGGTAATATGTCTCCCCTTTTAATCCCGTTAAATAAAAGATATATTGATCCGATGTTCCTGAGTGGAGATGAAGCGCAGACAACATGTGGAGATAATTACAGTTGATTTATTTACAGAAACACTTAACACATAAACTCAGATTATTGTTCAGCCATGAGGCGACAGGTAAGCCTGCAGTGCATTGTGGGCGTTCATCCTGCAGTGCATTGTGGGTGTTCATCCTGCAGTGCATTGTGGGCGTTAATCCTGCAGTGCATTGTGGGCGTTCCTCCTGCAGTGCATTGTGGGTGTTATCGTGCAGTGATGCTCTGCAGACGGCTCGTTCTCTTCATGATGTTCGGGATGAACTGCAGCCCCGCCGCCCTCTCGATGGTTTCTATGGGAACCAGGAAGCGCTCCAGAGGAACCTTCTCCTCGATTGGTTCGTTCGGTAAGACGTACGACCGAAGCTCCACCCCCCTGCCATCCATCTGCTCCAGGATCAGCACCTGAGGGAACCAATCAGCTGTCAGCTAGTTTCACTTCTGGAACATGGTGACATCAGTATGGAGCACTCTTGCTCCTATTGGCTAGCGCTCCAATACATTGTACGTGATAGGCTAAAGGGGCGGGACATCTTTAAGCTGTTTGACCAATCACAACAGAGCCGGCCAGCTAACCAATCAGAGCAGACTGGGCTCTGGTTTCAGACAGAGGGTGAAAAGAGGTGCTGCAGCACAGGCAGTATGAGGACAATAAAGAGCTTTCTGAACATTAGAGCATGGAGACATGTCCCAGTAGAGACACTACATAGAGACATGTCCCAGTAGAGACACTACATAGAGACATGTCCCAGTAGAGACACTACATAGAGACATGTCCCAGGAGAGACACTACATAGAGACATGTCCCAGTAGAGACACTACATAGAGACATGTCCCAGTAGAGACACTACATAGAGACATGTCCCAGTAGAGACACTACATAGAGACATGTCCCAGTAGAGACACTACATAGAGACATGTCCCAGTAGAGACACTACATAGAGACATGTCCCAGTAGAGACACTACATGGAGACATGTCCCAGGAGAGACACTACATGGAGACATGTCCCAGTAGAGACACTACATAGAGACATGTCCCAGGAGAGACACTACATGGAGACATGTCCCAGTAGAGACACTACATGGAGACATGTCCCAGTAGAGACACTACATGGAGACATGTCCCAGTAGAGACACTACATAGAGACATGTCCCAGGAGAGACACTACATGGAGACATGTCCCAGTAGAGACACTACATGGAGACATGTCCCAGGAGAGACACTACATGGAGACATGTCCCAGTAGAGACACTACATAGAGACATGTCCCAGTAGAGACACTACATGGAGACATGTCCCAGTAGAGACACTACATGGAGACATGTCCCAGTAGAGACACTACATAGAGACATGTCCCAGTAGAGACACTACATGGAGACATGTCCCAGGAGAGACACTACATGGAGACATGTCCCAGTAGAGACACTACATGGAGACATGTCCCAGTAGAGACACTACATAGAGACATGTCCCAGGAGAGACACTACATAGAGACATGTCCCAGTAGAGACACTACATAGAGACATGTCCCAGGAGAGACACTACATAGAGACATGTCCCAGTAGAGACACTACATGGAGACATGTCCCAGTAGAGACACTACATAGAGACATGTCCCAGGAGAGACACTACATAGAGACATGTCCCAGTAGAGACTCTACATGGAGACATGTCCCAGTAGAGACACTACATGGAGACATGTCCCAGTAGAGACACTACATGGAGACATGTCCCAGTAGAGACACTACATGGAGACATGTCCCAGTAGAGACACTACATAGAGACATGTCCCAGTAGAGACACTACATGGAGACATGTCCCAGTAGAGACACTACATAGAGACATGTCCCAGTAGAGACACTACATAGAGACATGTCCCAGTAGAGACACTACATAGAGACATGTCCCAGTAGAGACACTACATGGAGACATGTCCCAGTAGAGACACTACATAGAGACATGTCCCTGGAGAGACACTACATAGAGACATGTCCCAGTAGAGACACTACATAGAGACATGTCCCAGGAGAGACACTACATGGAGACATGTCCCAGCAGAGACACTACATGGAGACATGTCCCAGTAGAGACACTACATGGAGACATGTCCCAGTAGAGACTCTACATGGAGACATGTCCCAGTAGAGACACTACATAGAGACATGTCCCAGTAGAGACTCTACATGGAGACATGTCCCAGTAGAGACACTACATGGAGACATGTCCCAGTAGAGACACTACATGGAGACATGTCCCAGTAGAGACACTACATGGAGACATGTCCCAGTAGAGACACTACATAGAGACATGTCCCAGTAGAGACACTACATGGAGACATGTCCCAGTAGAGACACTACATAGAGACATGTCCCAGTAGAGACACTACATAGAGACATGTCCCAGTAGAGACACTACATAGAGACATGTCCCAGTAGAGACACTACATGGAGACATGTCCCAGTAGAGACACTACATAGAGACATGTCCCTGGAGAGACACTACATAGAGACATGTCCCAGTAGAGACACTACATAGAGACATGTCCCAGGAGAGACACTACATGGAGACATGTCCCAGCAGAGACACTACATGGAGACATGTCCCAGTAGAGACACTACATGGAGACATGTCCCAGTAGAGACTCTACATGGAGACATGTCCCAGTAGAGACACTACATAGAGACATGTCCCAGTAGAGACTCTACATGGAGACATGTCCCAGTAGAGACTCTACATGGAGACATGTCCCAGGAGAGACACTACATGGAGACATGTCCCAGGAGAGACACTACATAGAGACATGTCCCAGGAGAGACTCTACATGGAGACATGTCCCAGTAGAGACACTACATAGAGACATGTCCCAGTAGAGACTCTACATGGAGACAT